TAAGACTCTGAGAGTACATTAATCGAACGCATTGAACAGGAGCTAGGTAGATAAATAAAGCTCAATCAAAGCATAATATGACAAAAATCACATTTAACAACTGCTGAGATATCTTTTTAGCCATGAAGTGCATTAAAATAAATAAAAAATGTTTGAAACGTCATCAAATTTCCATTCATTCAACCCTTTTGTAATGTAATGTCTTTCTTCGTATTTTTTTTAAATAAATTAAAATAGGAGTACGTGCCTCAGACAACATAATATACCAGAATGCAAAACCACGAGACAGAAGCCATTATACGATACATACCCCACCTGGTGACGTTAAATGACGAGATTACAAATCGGTTAAAATATAAAACTGAACCAGTGTTGACAGCCATTAGAGAAAAAATCTCTTTGAAGAAGACATTAATATTTAGACCTATTTAGACAGATAATTTTACCAATTTAAGTGTAGAGAAAAGGCAGGTTCCAGGACACTTTAATAAAAGACAGATTTAAACTTATGATATTGAAACCTGAAGTATCATCAGATTCGTTTTGGGGTACTCAAAAAACCTGGTGATCCGGGGTTCGATTTCGCCAAACATTCTAAATCCGGTTTTCTTTCGATGATGTGGGTCATTACAGCTACAGTTACAGAAGAAAGTGTCATTTTATAACAGTTACTTAAGAAAGTGTCATTTCATTAAAGTTATAATTACAAGTAATATATCCGGAGGGGCAATAGTTGCAGTGACGGTATAGGTCAGCCTTTATTTTCGGAGGGCTACGGGCCTGTTCTGAAAATTGCTGTTATTTCTTTCCAAACTGTATTTATTTATGATTTATTCTTTGCATGACATACCAGTTGTTGCTGACGGTCGCACATTTGTCGTCTGATATCGCTCGGGAATCGTTACATTTGTCGCTTTGGTAATTAATTCCTAAATCACTCAGAATAATTGACAAATATTTCTCACTGGCACCAAATAGGCTAGTTAGCATGCAAATGGAATTGGTCAAAACAAAAACATCAGGCAATGTAACATGGTTTTCGCATGTCTTTTTCTAACAGGCTTTACGTGTAGTTGTGAAATACTGATTTGAAAATTGATGTTTTAATTAGCTCTTGCCTTATAATATGTACACAATATTTATTATCGATACTTTATAGTTAAGCCAATTGGTTATTTATTTTTATTTCATTGGCCTTGGCCAGTGTTTTACATTGGTGTTTGGGAGATGGAGAGGGGTTGCAGGTAAGGTATCAGTTTTCATCTAAGACCACAGATTGTATTAGAATCATGCATTCAAAATTTCGATTTTTCACTGCCAGAAACATAATTAACTCTCTATAGTTATTTCTTTATATTTTGTAAATACTCTGACGCCTACTTCTGGTTCGTATTAAATTACATAAACAATGGGCTAAAATCTAAGAAATGGTAAGGAGTGATAATTATTTTACCCTTACTTTAGTCGGGTTAAGGTAGTTTATCTTTATTCAGTTGAAGGCGAACTAAATTCTAATTTTCAAAAGTGTTCTGGGTGGCTAAAATATTGTTGCAGCCAATTTTAACTCAAATATATTCCTTAACTTGTCGAAAATATGCTATGATCATAACTTTGAAACCTTCATAGATTATACGGTAATAAACGTACATTTTTATGATTTGAAGTTATCGGGGGTGTGAATTTATGCACAAGAAAGTGATATACACTGCATCATTCAAATAAAAATTTGAAAAACCCGCCGCGATTTAAGACAATAAATTGTTGACAAACGTAAAGATTAAAAATTTAAATTGTTAGTAAAAAATATTATATAGTCTATATAATTTCTAAAGTTATCTACATGTTAAAAGTTTTATACCGTTATGTCGATAATTCTGACAAAAATTTACAAATTATGACAATTTATATTCTTAAATCTCACAAAAACTCGTATAATCTCAGACAATCTCGCGTAAAATATACCTCCGTTATCTTCATGTTCTCTACGGGATATCGCGAGATATGAAGAGATTTTCTCAAGGATACGCCATATTTACGTCATGTAACGTCAGATTTCCCACAAATTCTTCATTCATAATGTTTGTATGCAGTTATTTAATAGGCTGTTAAGAAGATAAATTCGTTACTACGGTTGTAGGTGGACAATTTACACGTATTCAGATAATTTTACGCATTATTACAGCGGAAACGAATAGCAATGTCAAGGTCGCTATGCAATTAGTTGAAGTTTCTTTGCACTAGATTGTGTGCTGTATAATTGCACCATATTTGCTGAGTTAATTGCTCAACATGCTGATATTGTGGATATAGATATTTCGATTTGTGATTTTACTCAGGGTAATCTGACGAATTTGTTATGCAGCTCGAGCTCTATGCCAGTAGCTTTTTAAACCAATGAAATGATCGATAAAAGCTATATAGACCAAATGTGTACAAATACCATAATTGCCCTTCTCGCCCATACCGAACGTTTGTTCATTATTTGGATTATTGTCCATTACTTTAGATTTTCTGTTGAACGCCAACCCAATTCAGGAAAAAGATATGGGTATCAGGAATGAAGGAAGCTGGCAGAGAAGAAGATTAGACCACAATGTCCCTTTAAACAGCCCAAGATCCCTTAAAAATAATTGGTTTATTGAACATTTTCTTTAACTTTTTATCATTTACGTTTCAAGATAAACACATTAATTGATATAAAAGGAATAAAGTGAATATAAAATGAAAGACTAAAAAATCTAAAAAAGAAAATGGCGGACCTCCCACTGTGTTGTTTATACGGTGTATTTTAAAATATACTTTACTCTCAAATCTAAATGACATTTATGGGGAAAAGGAGACGGGTTTAGAGGCTATAAGTGACAGTAGACCAAGACTTCATGTTAAGGAATTTTCTTTGAATTCCTTTCAATTTATGAATGCTAAACAAAATTTCCCTCGAAAAAATATCAAAACATTCAAATGTAATAATTCCTAATTTTGAAAGTTATTTTTTACTTAAATAGACACCACGAGGCAAAATGTTAATATGGCATCAATATTAGTAGGTACAATGTCTTAATACACGGAAAGAAGTAGATTGGAAATTTTTCAACATTTTTCATAGGGGAATTATGTAAGCACGGTTTCCAATATGAGAGATTCCACAATCTTTCAACATACAGTTTGCTTGTAATTAAATGAAAGTTGTGAACTCTTATACGCCCATGTTTATCATATTACTAGGGATCTTCATATATAGGTTGGAATTAAAGGACTCAGTAGGAAAGACAAACTTGTTGTATTGCTCATGTACATTTACTGCATAGAGAATATAAACTTGTAAAAACCCTCATAAGGGGTTTATGATAATTAATTATAGTTTGCTATTGAAGACTATCAGTTGATTTGATGCTCTTTGAATTTTTACAGAAATCGATTTTGATTCTGTTATGGATGAGAAACAGTATTTGCATCTCAATTAGGTTTGTAATTGATTATAAGCTTGGTTTTTGTGACTATCAGTTGCTTCAGTGGCTCATATTAGCAAGTAAAACATTTTGATTTCCTCATGAATAATAAACAGTTTATAAAAACCTATAATATATATATAGTATTGTATGAGATTGATAATAAGTTATAAGTTTGCTATTGATGACTATCAGTTGATTTGCTTCATATTTTTTTTTAGATATAAACGATTTTCTAGTGGATAATAAACAGTTTATATAGACTTTTTTACATAAAGTTTTTCATTTCAATGAAATTGATAAAGGATTATAAGTTTGATTTATGTAACTATCAGTTGCTTTGATTGGCTTACCAATTTACAGAGAAATATTCATTTCTTATGGATAAAAATATTTAATATAAGCTTCTATTAATATAATTTGGTTATCAATGGGATTTATAATAAGTTATAAAAGTTTGCTATATATTGATGACTGTTATTTAACTTGTTGTTTTATGGATAATAAACTGTTTATATAAACCAATAGAGAATTTTACATTAATGAGATTGATAATAGGTTATAAGTTTGCTATTGATGACTATCTTTTAACGTGTAGTTTAATGGATAATAAACAGTTTATATAAACCAATAGAGAATTTTACATTAATGAGATTGGTATTTTGCTATTGATGACTATCAGTTGACATTATTCTTCTTATATTTTGCACCAATAAACTTATTGATAATAAATATTCCATATTAACCTGTTTAGAAAGTGTATATAAATGAGTTTTATAATATGTTATAAGTTTTTTATTGATGATTATCAGTTGACATGGTGCTTCTTATAAACAGTTTATAGAATTTTATATAAGATTTTTGTTATATAAACTTGTATAATATATTTACAGAAAATTAAAAGTTTTAGTTATAATTATTATAAATGCGATTGGATTCAGTATTATTTGAAACGGTTTGTTGATTAAAATTGAAATTGTGACTTGTGTGTTGTAGATATTAATAAATTATACCTACTTATACATGTTTATCTTTCAGAAAGGGATTGTGAAAATCCTGGTAATATTTCAAAGTTAATCCCATTTCTCTCTTTATAAAGATGTACTTGATAACTTATAAATTATAAATATATATATATATCAAGAAATAAACACTATGTTAAGATTCAATTCAGTTCATTGTAAACCCGTCCCATATATTAAAATACATTATCTTTGTTATATACATGTACATTGATGATAATTTTAAAATACTCAATAGATATCCATGTATTTCCCTAACACAGTCGCTTGATTTGCTTGTTAAAATTGAATAGTGCAGAAGGTGATAACTTGTATCTGATTGTCACTCTTGATTGGCAAACATTAATGGAAAACTATTTTTTCACAAACATGCATTAGGATTCCAACAATTACTATGACGAACTAAAGTTCCAGATTATTTCGACCTACACTAGTTACTATGGGATCATTTACTTCAAGAGAAAGTAACTGTCTAAGCGTCTTCATGGGCGATGTTCATTGAAAAATACAATTATATTGTTAAGTGAACTCACCGACTCTTTCTTAATATGTTTATCTGTTAAACTATTCACTGCATTATGAGAGTGCGAAGAAGATTTTTTGGAGAGATCAGCTTTAAATCCTGCTTGAGTTAGAGTTGGGTCATCTTTTGACAGAACGTCCATAAGATATGTAATATAACTTGTGGCTAACCGCAAAGTTTTTATTTTGGATAGTTTTGTGTCCGTGGGAACATTCGGAATACATCCTCTTAAATTTGAAAACGCACTGTTTATACTTAGTGTCCGTCTTCGTTCTTTTTTATTTGCGGTTCCTTTGCGCTTAACGTGACGATGTGGGTTCGGATCGTACTGGGCATAATGATGATGATGCGGATGATGATGGTGATAATCCGTGGGTGAAGGGGTTCCTCCGCTCATATAATGATGTTCTTGTCCCACTGGTAAATCTTGCGTCGCGTTTAAAACCCAGTTCTGAAAATATCCCGGATCAGGGTGTTCGGGGTAGCGCACTTGTTGATATTGGTAGATGTCGTGGGTCATGCCCGGGTGCGGGTATGACTGTGCATACGGACCAACACTTAAACTCATTTTCTAATTCGCAGAGTTCACACACAAAATTATTCAGATACGATCCAATATTGAATTTTTATTGCAATTCCGCTCAATTTTCTGTTAAATTTCACAAGTCACTTTTAATTTGGAAAAAATTCAGCTCCTCCGAGTTGATGAAATTCCAAAATGGCGCTTATCCAAGAAATCACAATATAATAAGAAGTGACAAAATAGTCGCAGGAAATATTCAAGATATTTCCCTGGTTCTGGTCAAAATTTTGTCTGTTATATTATTCCACGTTTTCCTGTTTTTACGAATCTTAGATAACGCCATGGGAATTCTCTAACTACCGTAAACCCCATGACGTCAAGGATCAATTAGCCAATCAAAACGCCCATAATTGAAGAATTCAACGTCCATAATAACTTAACCCCGCCCCTTCACGTGGAACGCCATTCCTGAAAATGAAGTGCCAATCATTTAGAATATCAGAACGCGTGAAGTAAAAGGTATAAATACCGCCCATCGCGTGTCGGAATAATGGTGATCTCTATCGTTAAGAGATGATAATTCTAATTCTATGAGTTCCCCATGTTTCGACATAATATTCGATGTTTCTATTTGATTAATTTGTTTCGAATAACAGATGGAGACAGAAAAAGCAGGGCTATTTTTTTAAATAAATTAACATATTTAATCAATCCAATATTCTAATTAGATTAAGCTATCATATGACGAGAAAGATTTGTCTTCGCTTGTATTTTGCCGGTTTACATGAGTTCTGTTTTTAAAACTATAAGAGATTTGATATAGGGTTAGGTATCAAAAATATATTATTCTACATCGAATGACGTCAATCTTGATCTTTATGATTAGTTTATAGACGAACCTTACACCGAGTTTCATTATGAAGAGAGATACCAGTAATAGATCAAAATGTATACCAGATATAAGACAATCATTGTTAGACAACTTAATCACCTGTTAACAAAAAAAAATATTTATTGAACAGAAAATTAAGATAGGACCCAGAAGACAATGATAAGCACAAAAACATGCATATGGAATTATTATTCTTTGATACCTTTATGTTTTCAAAGAAGAAACTTGTGAACAAGAGCAGACAAATTCATTCCTTATGCTAATATTTAAATTAGAATTTATTCTTACATTCGGTAAAATAGACATTATTTGTTCATGTATTTGGTTGTATTTTTAAGAATATTTTTCAATTCTCTGAAATTATTTCTGGTATCCGAAAGGTAGTATTGTACCGTGGATCAGTCCTATATGCCTACAGTCGTTAAAAATCAGACAACAGGAGAGAACACTTGAGAGCATTAAATTTTTTTACTTGTAGTTTTGTTTATAAATCGTTTTTCGGTGCATCTGACCAACCCTATCGTATCACAGAATGTGTTCGAAAACCCCAGCTTTGATTTGAGATAAAATCAGGATACAAGACAAATGTTAATCAATCACTTGACCGTTTCAGGGAGCGGCATTTTTGTCCCTATAAGGTATGTTGTTCTCAAATTTTTCGTCCTTTGCTTTTATTTTCCTTACTTATTAGTTTAATCCAAAGCAAAGATATCACAACCCTTACTTGTTAGTTTATTCTGTAGTCAGTGATATCACAACCCTTACTTGTTAGTTTATTCTGTAGTCAGTGATAACACAGCCCTTACTTATTCGTTAATTCTATAGCCAAGATATCACAGTCCTTACTTATTAGTTTAATCTATAACAAAGATATCACAGCTCTTACTTGTTAGTTTATTCTGTAGTCAAGATATCCAACCCCTTACTTATTAATTTATTCAATACCCAAGATATCACAGCCCTTACTTATTAGTTTATTCTATAACAAAGATATCACAGTCCTTACTTATTAGTTTATTCTGTAGTCAGTGATATCACAGCCCTTACTTATTAGTTTATTCTATAGCCAAGATATCACAGTCCTTACTTATTAGTTTAATCTATAACAAAGATATCACAGCCCTTACTTGTTAGTTTATTCTGTAGTCAGTGATATCACAGCCCTTACTTATTAGTTTAATCTATAGCCAAGATATCACAGTCCTTACTTATTAGTTTATTTTGTAGCTAAGATAACCTAGCCCTTATTTAGTAGTTTATTCCATAGCAAAAATATTCCGGTCCTTACTTCAGTAGCCTATTCTATAGCCAAGATATCCCAGTCCTTTCTTTTGAGTTTATTCTGTAGCCAAGATATCACAGCCTTTACTTAGTAGTCTATTCTATATCCAAGATAACCCAGCCCTTACTAGCCAATATATCCCAATCCTTATTTCGTAGTTTATTCTGTATAGCCAAGATATCCCAGTTCTTACTTCTTAGCTTATTCTGTAGCCCATATATCACAGCCCTTACTTGTTGGTTTATTCTATAAGTAAGATATCACAACCCTTATCGTAGTTTATTTTCTAGTCATAATATCACAGCCCTTACTTATTAGTTTATTCTATAGCCAAGATATCACAGTCCTTAACTTCTTAGTTTATTCTGTAGCCAATTATCCCAGTTCTAACTTCTTAGTTTATTCTATAGCCAGGATATCACAGCCCTTACTTAGTAGTCTATTCTATAGCAAAGATATCCTGGCCATTATTTCTTGGTTTATTCTATAGCCAGGATATCACAGCCCTTACTTAGTAGTCTATTCTATAACCAAGATATCCTGGCAATTTCTTCTTTGTATATTCTATAGCCAATATATCCCATTCCTTATTTCGTAGTTTATCCTGTAGCCAAGTTTTGGTTCTTATTTCACTCGGTACTCTGGCACTCATGAATGCATATACACTTTGGTGTATTGAGAATAATATGAAGCATAAAATTCAGTATCTAATATTATATTGCTGATATGTAAACTTTGAACATTATTCTTGCTGCACCATAAGTAGTAGCTATTTACTCAATTTATCAACCTTAATAAGATCATTATTTTATCATCTGATTCTTACTGTCCACAGTAAATGTTTATTTTACCAAGTTGTATAAACATACAAAGTTTAGGGTGGTTGAAAGGTAACAAGTTACTATCCGACAGAAGGCACTGGCAAAGGGGTGCACTTTCATAAGTTTTGCGTGTCGTCTGATTTTAAATGTAGGCCTATCTTTCGACGGTTCTAAAGTCCCATAATATAAGAATTCTTCAGTAATTAGTAAGTTGCAATGTGACGTCTGGACACATATCCACTGCAAAACTTAGTTTATTCGTAACTGATAACAGAGCGATTAACAAGAAGATTATCTCACATAGATTATCTCTCTGAGACAACTTGAAACATTGATCAAAGGGACATAACTGGGGTATTTTAAACAGACGTCGGTAATAAAGATTTTACAAGATAAATTGATGAAGATTGTTTACTTTTTAAAGCGATAAGATCTAATGAGAACCCAACTGTTCCCTCGAGATACTCAATAAATCCTTACCATAACCCTCCCTACCGACCAATCAAAATGGTAGTATTTGATGTAAAGCCCACGTGAACTCAGGCTTAAGGGGGTCAATCTGATAGCATCTCATCATTAAAATCTCATATCAACTGATCATCGACTTGACTGTCTTCTCTAATTGTTTGGTAATTGTAATTGAGAAATTGTGATTAATGATGTGATAAGAAAGCAGAACATAATGTATATATTTACCGATCGTCCTAGTATACCGCAATACCATACAATAGCACAAGGCTTGACTGGTGTTCAAATGAATGATTTTAAATATCGTCAATAGTTTATATGAGTTTTTTTTTTTTTACCGTTTTCACTTCTTAGACGCACCGTGATAAGCCTACAACTAGTTGTTGTCTGACTCCAGATATTTTTAGAAACCGGAAACTGAATGTGGCGATAACCTGAAAGTAGAATATCAGGAAAAACAAATATCCCCCTAACCAAACATTAATAAACAGAATAGCCTGTTGAACTATGTCTGAAAATGCTGGCAACGACATGATCAGGTAATATAGCCTACCGTAGAAGAAAATAATGTGAATAGCATCATCTAAACCCAGCTGATGAATCAAATTTTATAACGCAATCGTCGTAATGTCCAGGAATGAATCGTATAGAATTGTAAATGACATTTCAGTTTTGAATTTAGAATGAGCTGATGATATATTTTGTGATTAATAGTAAACTTACATATTAATATACCGGTAGCTAAATTTTTGAATAGCTAAACAGCTGAAAAAGCATCATCCTCATTCATTGTTATCAATTGTATGCTTTTTCCCGAGTTATTGAATTCTGTAACTTGGATATACATCTTGAAATTCAAGCATTTTTTAATTTAGTGTTACCAGACAGAATCATTTTATCAATGTGTCAACTGGTCTCTCAATCATTAATAGAATGGAAAATATCGAGACAAAATGAATAAATGATAAAGACTGTTTATTTATTTCAGTTCTCTATCTAAAAACAGTTTAAGACTGGCAGTCAGGTCTAAAGCCTGGAGTGCCTCACAATCAGAATGGATTCTGGCAGGACAATGTGTACAAACAGAGGAAAAAGAACGAATTGGTCGATTCGTATTCAGGAAGGATTCCAAGTCTTCTATGGTAAAGTATATTATTCTATTGGACAGAACAAAACCAGAAAGATTACATTTTATTTTGATATAATTGTGTATGCTTTTGCAAGGTGCTTAATTATGAATTTCCACTGGAAGATTCGATGATAGAAATTATGGAAGTGATTACTTTTTGTTTTTGATTATTTGCAAGAGAATTTGTCATTAGTTGTCTAGATAGCTGAAAATGAGTTCTATAAGCTTTCGAGGCACAAATAAATACCTTAACAAATTTTCTATTCCTTAATGTTCAGATAGGTCGTTTGTTGATCAGAGTAGCTACATCACACATATTAGGCATTCCATATACTGATATAAAGTTGGGACGTACTGAAAAGGGGAAACCAATACTACTAAATGATCTGCCACCAGAATTCAGCAACTACAACTTTAATATTTCACATCAAGGAGATTATGTTGTCTTAGCAGCAGAAAAACAACATCAAGTTGGTATTGATGTAATGGATTCACAATCACAAAGTAAGGTTGTCAATATTTACAGGTTAAACTCGAGGGAAAGGCCTAAATCATGAAAATTTACTAGACAGTGAATTAAAACACAAACTGGCCACGTATTCTTGAAATGATCTTAGTGCTATGATGTCCTAGATTTTTATCTACTAACATTGATTCTAGGACATCCTAGCGCTAAGACCGTTATGAGAATATGTGGCCTGATGTGCATTTTGAAAATTATTGGAAATCAGAAATTTTTATGTGAAATTTCAAAGCAGAGCCAATAGAAAATTTGATCACATTATGAAGTTGATAATCGTTTCACATTAATGTAATCAGTAATTTGCTTTACCTGCAGAAAGTGGAGCTATTATGAACTTCATCTTATAACTTGACTGCAATAGCTACTATTCTCGTATCACGAAATGCAGGGATTTGATTGGATTGTGTCCCAGTAAATAGGCCCTATAGCCAATCACAGTCCTTGACAGAAAGTCTCTAAACAATAAGCTTTATTGTTATCAGTCTGTCTGGGCTATGATTGGTTGTATTCATTGGGGTACAATCCAAACAAATTGCGCTGTGTGATACAAGAATAGTGGCTATTGCAGACAAGGTATTAAACTGACTTAGAACTTCTGTGATACATGAAAGATTGCTGTTGCAGTCAAGGTAATCGTAATAGCTTGATATTGTGAAGATGGTGGCTTACCTACAAAATTGAAAAACTTTTCGAACAGCAGATACATCAGTTTGATTTGTTTGACGTTAAAAGGCAAAAGTTCACCTAAAGCTTCAAAACATTTTTTATATTTGATGTTTAAGGAGGTACCTCTATATCCAAGTTTTTTGGTGTAATGAAAAGACATTTAACAGATAATGAATGGAAAACAGTAGCTAGTTATTCTAAAGAGTCTGATCAGATGAAAATATTTTATAGACATTGGGTAAGTCAAATCTTCAATTTTACATACATTTTTCTCAAGTCAAGATTTTCTTTCAAGGTAATTACCTTGCTTGCTTCTTGAGCTCAATTCATGTAAGTTCCAATGAGACCCCAGTTTGATTCACTTTTAAGTTTGAGATGCTTTTGGTCATGATCCTTTTTTATGCGCCCACATCTCTCTATGTGGACGTATATTGCCGGCACCCCTGTCCGTCTGTCGGTCCGTCCGTCAACATTTGCTTGTAAAGGCTCTAAAAACTAGATTCTTTTATGGAATCAAATGAAATTTGGTATGTGTATACATATTCATAAAACGAAGATCAAGTTCGAATTTGAGCTATTTTCGACCGTTAGAAGCAGAGTTATTGCCCTTGCCCCAAAATCTTGAATATTTACCATTCGTGGTGGGCATATATGGCTGTGGTCCACTATCTTATTAGTTTATTGTATACTATCAAATTATAGAGTACCAATTGTAATATACCTGCAATATTCTTATGTTACTCTGCCTGACAAAACTGTTTTCAGTGTTTGAAAGAAAGTATAGTTAAAGCTTTAGGAGTAGGCATTGGTTTTGAGATTGGAAAATTAGAATTTACTCTACCAACAAGAGATTTATCTACCAGTAAAATATCTTATGATACCACTGTTAAAATAGAAGGTAAACCTGATCCTCAATGGTCATTTGAAGAAACCATGTTAGGAGACCATTGTGTGGCTGTTGCCATTAGAAACCAAAATAATAACAACCAATCAAAATCTCAGGTAATAGCTGCTTTTATTTTAATTTTGAACTACTAGGGGGTGCTTAAAAGGATAGGTTCAGCATTTTTGGGGTTGATTTGGATCTGGTATATATGTAAAGTATGTATTCAGAAGAACTAGAACTGCACGACAATTGCATAATCCCTTCAAATATTCTTCAAACCCTTTTTTTTCCCCCAAAAATGGCAAAGTCTCAAGCAAAAACAAGTTGTCTTTAAAGTTCAAACTTGGATAATTCTGGACACTCATGGATTTTAAGGATCAAATTTCAAAGATGAGTTGTTAACTATTATTACTGATTAGCTTAGCTAAAAAATGTCCTTCTCTGAGGCTTAGGTACGAATGGTCAAATGGATGTTGTGTCCCTTTAATATATCTTGAACACCTGATGGAAATCAGCACCTCAGTTTATCATCTCTTTTAGAAAGAGTTCACATTGGGATTACTGTTTGAATACCATTTTTAATAAAAATTTATGGTTTCGATTTGATTTAAAAAAAAAATAATCCCATAAATTCAAAAAGTTAACCTAGTGCATACTGTAGTTTAAACTTTCAGAAAGTTCATAGTGTCAATTGAAGACACTTTAAAAGTCTAAACTTTACGGCTCTGAAATGAATAAAGAGATATCCAAATTAAACTTTTCAGATAAGACAGGAATTAATCATCAAAACCATAATTCATAGTCTTATAATAACATTGTGGTTTAACATAATAAACTTTAAAATTATCTTAGAAAATTACTGAGGTCAGAGAAGGCATGATATAATAACACAACTTCATATAAAAGACTGGTTAATCTGTCATTTTAAGCTTTTGACCGGAATATCAAGTTACCTAGTATTAAAAAATTAATTAATGAGCTGCCATGAAGAAAAAGAAATAATTTTTTATCTTTTATGTTTTGCTACTTGCCTTAATTACCTATTGACAGATTTCATAAATTTTATCTGGAATAAAGTGGAACTATCAAAGTTATTTTTTCTCTTAGATTGTAGGTTGACCTGACCCTAGCACCCATTAGATATCTTCTTTTAGTATGCTTTATAGACAGTATTTTAAAAACTGTAAATAAGCACAATCTAGTTAAAACATAACATAAATTTGTTGAGAGTACACTTCATAACAGCAAGAATTGTTCAAAAAACATTGCAGATATAATTGAGCATCTAAGCCCAATACAGAGGTATAGAGTCTGCATTGTTCAAATTTCCCTTACACAAAGGTTATAATTCAAGAAAACTTAAATTACGTAGATTATGGCATCACTATCGCGTCAATGCAATAATTTATGTTTTTCTAGAACCACTGGAACCACAGGTGATGTCAAATGTTAATTGGAAAGATAGAAGCCATGGATGACCACAATGGCTAAATCCCTCTGGTCTCTTTGAATTTTCCTTGTAGATCAATTAAATTATGGGGTACATTTCCTGGCAGCTGGCTAGTTTGATCTGATATTTCTTATGACCATTCCCTCTACACAAATTACCTTTCTCCCTATATTTGTATATATATATAAATTCTATATTAGGATTCTCATTGATTTCTTAATTTTCACCATTCTTATTTTCAGACACAGGAAAATGACAGTGGCTTTCATAGACTCACAGTTCCTGAGTTACTGAAGAGTTGTGTCCCTCTACCTGCTAGCTCTCCCGACATGGAGTATTGGACAAAGTTTACAACAAAATCAGAGCAACCTGTTCGTGTTTCATAACATTCCTGATAGCTAAATAGATTTTTATTTTATAAATTTATAACATATAGAGCAGGGTGAAGGTTGTGTTCGTCTCAGTAGTCATATTATATAGTAGGTGACAGCTTGAAACCTCGTATGACAAAAAAAGTATTTGTACTCGTATAATGTTAAAATCTTTTTTTTTTCTTTTTTTTTACTGCTATACATGGTTTTCATTTTTTGAAAATTGAAACCTTGTATAACAATTTAAATACACCTATTCAACCAATGACTCGTATAATAGTATAGTATAAGGACTTTTTCGTTTTCATCTGCAGAAAAAGGAACATTGAACCTCGTATAATATAATATTTTACGAGGTTTTAAATCTGACTGTTTATATACATGTTTTTTAATTTCTGATTTTTGGGTTATTTACAATCAGACAAAGAATAAGAGGTTTTGATCTGCCCTTTTATGAGCAGTCACCCATGATGTATTCCTCTCAATAAAGGTATAGGCTACACTTAATGAAGGTTGTGTTTTGGTTGTACTGTCTTTAAGGGGCAGAATGGAAGATAGGCTTATCAGTTGGGTACTCATGTTCTTATCTTGATGCTCATGTGTAATGTATGGTCTATTTACTATTTACTTTTGTAGTAAGGATACATTGTTATTATTACATATGGTAGCCTATCCTTTTCAGAATAATTTTAAAGAGGTTTTAAATATATATGTGTTAAAGACTTAAAAATAAATCAAATGTCTTTTGGGATTTTGTGTCGCGAACAAAAGGTGCATTGAGTGTCTAATGCTTCTTGGAATCCATCGTTCGCGTCACAAAATCACTGGAGAGGGAAGAAATTTGATTGACTAGCAGTGTTCAAGAGGCCTGTTTTTAAACTAAAAATGAAGTAGTGAAATTATAAATATAAGCTTATAAAAAATAGGAATTAAAGTTGACATTGCTTCATGTATGTTATTACTGCTATGATTTATGCACTGCCATTTGTAAAGTTTTAGTATATATACACCAAAGGTTTTTTTTTATACAGAATTGAATAATTTTTCTTTCAATCCACGAAAATGTTTACAATACAGGACTTATGACATCACTAACCCATACATCTTGTTTGATGACATCACTAATCCTGTATTGTATCATTGTTGCTTGTAGAGAGATTGTATTAAAAGTTTATATTATTTGTTTATTAATGGTGAAATAAATTTATATTTATGTACTATATTCTCTAGTTCTTCTTTCCTTTTCTTTCCCTGAAATTTTAAAAATTGATTGTACATGTACCTTATTAGATCTAAAAATGAAATGGTGGTGCTAAGAAGTATGCAATGAGGCTAATTCATGATAATGGGATTTAAGACATGCACAGCCAAGACTTGCTGCTTCACAATGATAATAAGACACCATTGGACAGCACTGATTGAAAACACTAGTGAATAAAGTGATGGGGGAATTGATCAAGGGATAAAGATCATTTTGAAATTAGTCTCATATGTGATACATAATAGTCTTGTATCATGATACATGATAGTCTTTATTTTGATACACAATAGTTTGTATCGTGATACATGATAGTCTTGTATCGTGATACATGGTAGTCTTTATTTTGATACACAATAGTTTGTATCATGATACAAGATAGTCATGTAAGTGATACATGATAGTCTTGTATTGGGATACACAATAGTTTGTATTGTGATACATGATAGTCTTGTATAGTGATGCATGATAGTCTTGTATTGTGATACACAATAGTTTGTATCATGATACATGTAATCTTGTATAGTGATACATGATAGTCTTTTATCGTGATACACAATAGTTTGTATCGTGATACATGATAGCCTTGAATTGTGATACAAGCAATTGCAAGGATAAGTCATAATATTCTATGCAGTATTTTGGCTTTAGCCAAAACCCCTTAAGAGATTGTTTGGAATAATATGTATCTAAAAATTGCTATAATTTTAATATTCAGTACTAGCTTTGTATTATGATACATGATACAGTATTAGCTTGAAAAATTCTTACCAGTTTATTGGATAAGGACTTGAATTTAGATCTGAGAGATTTCAATAAGAGATGATATTGAGCATGATAAACTGTTAGTTGTTTAATAAAACTAAAGACTCCAATCCTGGAAAATAATGAAGTAAATAAGAACATTATAAATAAATTTTAGGCCTATAGAAATAATAAAACAGAAAATCAAATATTTTATAACTAAGACTTTCATATGCAAATATGTCCCTGCTAAAATCTTAAAAGTTGTACTTGCTCTCATGTCTTTTTTACAACTTTTACAAATTCAGCAAGCATCTGCCTTTTAGACAATTGAATTATGGTAGGAATAATTATGCAAGGTTGTTTATTGTTTTGAGCAACCGAATTTGAACTGCAATATGGCAACAGTACATTTAAAATTCTTACCAATCAGAAACCTTTAACATTTGACACATCTTGTAGAAATCTTGTCTCTACATTTCTTATTTTTACATGGAATTAGAGCTTAAGCTTCTTATTAAGAGATCCTTAAAGGGACAGATGCCATTCTTTTTGACCAATCATACTTTACTCTTAGAAACGGGAATTTTTTGGCTTACCCAATCAGTAATAGCGTTCACAGCTCATTGAAATTTGAGCCTTCAAATCCATGTGTGTCCAGATATTATCTGCGTTAGAAAGTTGAAATGACGAATCGTCACCATAGAAATAGTCAGTTAAATTTCTAGTTTGAAATATTTTTGAAGGAATCATGCAATTTCGTACATTTCTAGTACTTCTGAAGACTTATAAAGACTTATAAAATACTTTCAAGACTCACATCAATCCCCCAAAATGATACACCTATCCCTTTAATCCATTGTGACACAACAGTCATAAATCAATTAAAATCAGAAGAAAAAGAAAAAGAAGTATAGAAGAGAATAGAATATCCTACCAAGTTATCTCTATCAATGATAAACTAAGTTGTGTAGAACAAAAATTTAACTTTGATAACTTCAATTTTCCTTGAGAATTCATATAACTACATAGTGATAGAATCATATCTGAAAAATAATTAACGCATATCAATTCTTCAATGTTGTTCAAATGTTTTATAGGCTACTGATACAAATATTTTCACTGTTAAAAAAGTTCTCCTTTGTGTCAATTGAAGAGGATATAAAAACCAAATATACAGAAAGAAGGGTATAAAACTTGGAAGTAATTCTATATCATTTTATTTGAAAAACTTAATTAAGTTACGCATGTTAATAGCCAAGGACATGCACACACTTTTTGGGACACATGATGTACCCCTGCAATTGGATTTGTCAGCTTGAATTTCAG